ATATATATATATATATACATATATATATATATGTATATATATGTATATATACATATGGACACGTGTGTATAGTGCATTTTATTACATATAAAATCACTGTGTGAAGGAGAAAAGATTTCTAAATCATTTTGCAAAACCCAGAGAGATTACAAAAGCTCCTCATGAACATGAACAATTTAACCAATGATCCAAGCAGAACACTGAAATTTCCACAATGAAAATGTAAAAAAAAAAAACACTGAATATTCCTTTGATATGTGTTTATTTAATTACAGCAGGGTTACATCCATTCAAAATATTTGTGAACATCAAATAAAAATTGGCGGAAATTGGTTAATTCAAACAAAGCTATTTTTAAAAGTAGTTTTTTGATTGTTATATTATTAGTTAGATTTTTTTTTTTTTTGCTAAATGAAAAAACAGTAATAGTTTGTCAGCCAAAAAAAAAAAAAACTATTGTGACAAAAAAAAATCTGAAATTGCTTATAGAATACCAACTTTAGTTATTTAAAGTGATAAATTGTTGTCAACAGCGTTTTAGTATAAATGTGTTATTCCTATCTGGACATTAGATGTTTCTTGGTGTTTTTCTCTGGCCTCAGGAGAATGATGAAACATTTTGGGGCAAAGATGCAGAACAACAAGCCATAACTAGAGGCAAGAATGGCAAAAATCTCCACCGCAACAGCATATTTTCCAGGAGAACTAACGTAGGCCGGAACAAAACCCACCCAAACTGCACAGAAAATCAGCATGCTGAAGGTTATCAGCTTGGCCTCATTAAAGTTGTCCGGCAGTTTCCTGGCAAGAAATGCCAAGAGGAGACTTGTGCAGCCCAGCAGGCCGATGTAGCCCAGCACCAGAGAAAAGCCCACCACAGAGTTCATAGCACACTTCAGGGTGACCTTTAACCCCGATACCTCAAAGTCAGGCTGAGGTACTGGAGGACTAACTGACAGCCAGATAACACAGATGATAACCTTGATGAAGAGAAAAAAAAGTGTTAAATCTTGGTAATTTTTCTAAAGGCTGCATTTAATAAAAAATTGTGACTGTATCTGACCTGTATAGAGGTGAAGAGGCAGACACTTCCTCTCTGCTGTACTGGACCGAACCACTTCATCAGAGCTTCAGCACCAGGCCGAGCTGAGCGAAACGCTGCCAGAACCACCATGGTTTTAACTTGTAGGCAGGAGACACTAAGTACGAAGCTGATCCCAAAAGCCGCCTGCTGGAATCGACAGGACCACACAGCTGGACGTCCGATGAACACCAGGGAGCAAAGGAAACACAGCTTCAGTGACAAGAGGAGCAGGAAGCTCAGCTCTGAGTTGTTGGCACGTACCTGCACACGAGAAACAAAATCAAGTTTTTCTCATAGGAACAGCTAATTATATGTGTTTTCATTTCATCACAACACTAAGCTAGTCAAGATGAAGTCAAATCATAGTCTGTCTTCTTACCATTGGTGTTTGACGATAGTAAATGAACACAGCAAACACAGCCATTGTTACGGTGACACCAGAAACAGCTATTGCTGTGAGGGTAATGCCCAAAGTCTCATCATAAGAAAGGAAGTCCAGCTGGCGAATGATGCAGACTGTACGCTCAGAGTTGGACCAGAACTCAGACGGACAACGATCACATTGAAGGGAATCTGAGACGGCAAGATGCACATTGAAAAAGCAAAGGACCAGACCGTAAATACACTAGAATGAACAATAAAATGTACGGAAGCTGAGAATGGCTGTACTTATCAAAAATTTAAATTTATTTTAATCAAGAATTATTTTCTCAAGATAACAAGATGTTCATGAAGCAGGCTGGTTCCTGTGCTCCGTTATTACAAGATAAAGCCATTTCAAATGAAATTCTATGCATGTCCTCTTTCAGCCTCCGTAGCTTCTGATGTCATAGCAAAATGAAAACTTGTCCTCACCACTTTTGTTGCTTATCTCCCCGTCAGCACAAGGGATGCAGTCAAAACAGCAGATAGGCTCTCCTTTCCTGGTGGCCACTCGTGTACCTGGTGGACAACTTTCACTGCACACTGACACAGGCACCTGGACAACATTTTTACAACCGTTACGCAAGTATTAAGTCAGCAAAAATGTTGATGTAGACATGAAGCAAAATGCATCTGAGCTAAGTACCTGATTGGACCCTGTGCTCCACTGAATAGCTGTCTCATTGAGATGGACGTCAAAACCGTCCACATGTCCGATCAAAGCGATCTTGAGCTGTCCCTCTGGGGTTTTCTGCCAGTTCAAGAGGTCATACTTGGCAGTGATGTCGGCCCCTTGGAAATAAAACAGTTCACCCTGTGGTGTGGTGAACTTCACTTTGCTCAGATGCTGTAACAGCTGAAAGAATTGAATGTAAGAAGAGTAAACATTTGTTTTGAACTACAGGAGCAGAGATTGTAAATGAAACGTGCAACAGATTAAATCCCCATGTTCAATGCAAACCACTAAACGGTAAAGAAGACATATTTGTGTTTACCTCTCTTGGTGAGATCTGGTTTGGTAACGAACAGGTGCTGTTGTTTCCAGAAGGGTTGTTGATGTCAGGACAGGAGAAAAGAGTGTGAAGGGCATGGGCTGCAGCATAAACTGCAAGATAAACGTTATATGTCACCCGGAGCTGCGAGGTGTCGGTGAACAGATTGTGCACTTGACTCAGGGACTCTGAGCCATTGCAGGGAGGTAGAGAAGCAGAGAGGGTCGTGACCCCAGGACTGCAGAGAAACTGCTTTTCCCAAAACTCCTTCAAAATCTTGTCATCAGGACGCAGAGATGGGTTCAGATTTCTGATGTAACTTGCAAATCCAGGTAGGAATGAACTTCGTATGGCCACACCAAGAACACCACTTGCCACTTTCTGTGTGACAGGTTCTTGGAGAAGATCACTGCTGGTGCTCCAAGCCTCGCTGGCCAAAAACTGTCTGTCAGTCACCTTGGAATAATTGCAAGACACGATCACAAGAAAGAAGGCAAATATCTCATCCATGGTAAAGAGCTGTTTGTTTTGCAGATTCAACAAGTGTTTTTCTTTCTTACATTTATCTTGGCTAGTTGCAGGAACAGTTCCATCACATCTGTGTACCAGGTAAAGACCAAAATCACTTTGACAGTTGAAGCCTGAATTGTGAGCGCTGCTCGTCTGGCATCACTTACAATGGTTTCTCTTTGGAAGGTCTCTACAAATGCCAGACACAACCCTGTCCCCCGAATCCCCTCCTGAAACATCTGGTTTTTATAAAATGTTTATTGGAAATTACACATGTGCCACTTATGTAAGATTTAAAATTGACATTTAAATAATTTCCCATAGCAAACACAACAAATGGAAAAACCTTCACTGCGTTGAGGCCATAGTCGTTGTTTGCTGCGACCGCTCCAACCCATGTCCACTTAAACTTTATAGCCAGCTGAACAATCGCTTGGACCTGATAAATATCACTGGCCATCGTTCTGAAGAAACTGGGATGTTGTTGCCTGTCGCTTAAACAAGGACAGCTAGCTGTGTAGCTCACCTGGAAGCCAAAAAAAAAATCACTTTCAGCAACAAATATTTAGAAATCTTTCTGGTTTCAAACCTCTGTAACAGTAAAGACATAGAAAGAAATCATTTAAATTGTACCCTAAGATAAATCACAGATAAATCACAATGTGAGAACATAAACAGGGCTGTATAGACCATCAGAGTGGAGATATTTAAATTGACAATGCTATAAAGGCATTTTCAACTTTCGTAAACTTACAAGAGGAACAGAAAGTGGTGACAGAATTCTGGAAAGTATCTGGGCTGTTATAGAGGAGTCCCCACCAATGATCAAAGGAATAGGAGGGTCACCTAATAATGTAAGAAGAAATCTATTCTGTCACTTTTTCCACAAAAATATATAAGACTCCATTTCTGTAACAGAATCTAACTCTATCCATTAGCTCCATTACAGGTGAATTACCTTTTTTTGCTCCGATTCCAGCTGCTGAGTTACAGCTGGGGGTGTCTCCACTAACCTGGGAGAGAGCAGCCTGCAAAGCCCAGGCAGGGAGGGCACAGCTGTCATGAATATGGTAGCCCAGCTTCACACCTGGTAGCAAAGTCAAACTGCGATTGATTTCATCAAGAGTGAAAATCATAGCATAGATGTACTGTAACGGTAGATTTTGTAATCTGGGAACACAAAACAGATGCGATAATAGAAATATCAATCAAGATAGACCATTAGGCTTCATTTCAACAATATCACATTTTACATAGGAAAAATCTAAAAGAAAAAAGTAAAATGACAAATAAAATAAAAACATTCATTGTACGTTAACTCAGAATCTTACCCTGTGCAAGATTTGTACTCTGGCTTCTGAGAGAACTCATGGTCTGAAGTTGGAGGAGTATAACGGAGATTAAAGAGCCCACCAAGAATTACATCCCCGTCCTCAAACACACCCTTTTCACTTGGTGTTCCCCATCGAGAACAATTCAGCGTCTGGACCACCTGCAAACCAACCCTGAGCCCCAGCTGTCTGCCCACAAGCTCCACAAAGAGCATGGATGTAATGGAGCAGGTCCACAGAGTGATGAGCCAGGACATCCAAGACATGGACACGGAGGTTCTAGATACCTAAAATATCTACAACACACATACAGCTTTCGGAAAATTATTAGTTTCAAGACAAAAGATGCAATAAGACAATATCAGCAATAAGTTCCATCTTCACACAGCAGGAACATGTAAATAAAAACATCTGCTAATCACAACACATGAAACCTTCACGACTAGCTCTGTAACTACTAACTGTGACATACCTCCCTCCTGCTCTGCTCAACAAAGATGTTCTGTGTATTTATAATTGCCGTGAAGCCGATTACTAAGATGGCACCATGTTAAATTATTTCTCTCAGAGGTAATGGCAATCATGCGCATTGCAGAGTGATGCTTATCAAATATGGATATTACAAATGTTTCATCATGTGACATTTTACTGACCACTTTTGGAAGTTTTTTCTGTAACTAATCTCAAGCTATGAAGGAGGAGGAGTTCAGAACTGCAAGAAGTGGCAGAACATGTGTAAAATGTGCCTCCATTCTTTTTCCCCATTTTTTTGTGTTGAATAAATATCACTTCAAACAGCTTGTGCTTCATGAACCATTTTCAAACCACAGAACCAGTAACTTTTCATTAGTAGGATTTTCTTCAGGCCTAAACTTGCTGAGTTGAATCGTTTGGTCATACAGGACATATCTATGTTGTAATTATGGCATTTACTTGGGAAATTAAGTATGGTCAGTATGTTGCATTAAAGAAGTAAGGCATTATTGGTGCTATTTTTAATTTGTTGTTCGCACCATTTGTGGTACATGTGGTGGAACAAAATTCTGTACACAGGGTCCCAGTTACATCCAACAAAAGTATAAATTGTAAAGAAAAACAGTAATAATATCTAAGATATGATCTAAGAAATATGCTAAACTAAGAATACACTAAGCACTTAAATATTCTGCTGCACGATGGAGCAGTTTGTTAACACCTTTGCCTCACATCAAGCAGGTCACAGGTTCAAAGCTCTGTTGGGTTCTTTCTGCATCAAGTTTCTATGTTCTTCTTATGCATGCCTTCGTTTTATCAAGGTACTCTGGTCTCTTCTTAAAATCCAGTTTTATGTTTATTAGTGATTCCAATTTGTCCCCAGGTGAGTATGGGTGCATGTTTGTCTCTGTGTGGCCCTGTGATGGACTGGTAACCAGCCCAGGGTGAACCCTGCCTCTCTGCCAATGACCACTGGAAAATGATTAAAGAAAAGAAATGGATGGATGGATTTCAAGTCACGATATTAATCAACCATTGTTTTTTTTTTTTGTTTTTTTTTTACAATTAACAGACAAACAAACCCCCCCCCCCCCCCCCCCCCCACACACACACACACACACACACACACACACACACACACACACACAAAAAAACCCTGATCCACAGAGCCAGTTTACTTTGGGCTGCCCACCACCTTTAGCCACATCACCAGTTCATTTCTGCAGTCAGGTGTCTGCTTTCTTTTTTCCCCTTGTCCTGTCCGGCATTGTGACATAGAATTATTGTCTGAGTGTCAAAGTGATGCCCAACAGATTTACATTCACAAGCAGAGCATTATGGCTGCCCTTAATGCTCCACTTGATATATAAATTCAATTTTATTAGAATTTGCTTCGGGTTTGTTTCAGATGTAATGGACATGGGGATGAAAAACAAAGAAGAAAACAAAGCAGAAAAGTGAGAGAAGGGTTAAAAGTTAAAGAAGGAGATAGAGTCAGAAGAAAATAAATAGATGGATGGATTTCAAGTCATGATACAAATCAACCATTGTTTCTTACAATTAACAAACAAACAACAAAAACAACTGATCCACAGAGCCAGTCTACTTTTGGCTGCCCAACACCTTCAGCCACATCACCAATTCATTTCTGCAGTCAGGTGTCTGCTAAAACAGGTTCAACAAGCGGTACCCGATGTTCCCCATCACTAAAGGATTTGAATATTCAATGTTCGTACTGTGGGTGTTACATATTGAATAAGAACAGAGGTAGATTGTTTTTCTTGTTTGATGAAGGGCAGATTAACAAACAGATCCCGACGAATGGACAGAGCAATTGTATCCACCACCAGGTCCCACGGTGGAGTAATGGGGTGGCCATTGGTGGCCCTGGCTACCATAGATTAATCATAAATCACATAACCAGCCATTTCAGTAATCTGAGGAAACTATACTTTTAAGTACTATACAAACTAGAAAGCATGGTTTCCTCTTATTTAACAGGTAGCTAGTCTGCATGTATATATGGTGGTGGCAATTTTGGATTATGATGTGGCAACACAGTTTTTTGATACAAGAACCTTTATTATGTAAAGATGCAGCCATACACCAAAATGGAAGTCAATACGTCACTTATTTTTCAAGTTTTCTTGTTCTTAATATTCACAGACAGAAGGCTTTATTGATATTTGCTATATCTGTGACTCAGAAATAAACAAAATCAACCCAAATTAAATAATTATGGATGGATGGATGGATGGATGGAGAGATGGACAATATTTTTATTTCCACCTTTTCTTTCCGAGATGGGGGACAAAAATAATGCACTGACCAATCAACCCAAACTTCCAGGTTTTCTGCTCTGATGGTTTTTTCCCTGAATGGACACTATTTTGAGTGTTAAAAGCCTTTCTTGTATTTTTGTCCCCTGCCGCAGAGTGAAAAGAGGTAACTGGAAATACCCTCTGTCCATCAGTCCACCCGTTTGGTATATTGTGAGCACAATAACTGGAAAAATACACATCAATGTGGACATCAGCATGTCGCTTGTTTTTTAGTCATGCCAGCTCCTATTGTTGAAGAAGCACTCAGACACATTTTAAGATAAAACAAAGATAAACTGCAATGTTCTGGGAATTTGATATCAGGACAAAGCAAATGTGGAAAATAGATTATTGCAATCTGAAACCACACTCAGTGCTCAGGCAGAACAAAAATGAAAATGTTAATAATTACTTTAACATTATATAATTTGGGTTGGTTTAGTATCTTTATGAGTCACAAATATAGTAAATGTGTATAAAGCCAGTTTATTTAAACAGACACATGTGGCCTGACATCAGTAGTGACTGTGATGAGAGGGTTGTGTTTTCTGATGAAGGCCTTCATTGTGACCACCAGCAGGACCGTTTTAGTTGGTACATCTTGTTAAAGAAGGTTTTGTTGCTCCTTCCTCACCTTTTTATTAACTGCTGATAAAACTTGAGTTCACCATTTGTCCTAAAACTCCCTCAGCTCTACATCTTCATGTGAGCTCAGCATCCATCAAGGTTTGCTGGACAGATGTAGGGTTCATCAGCTGCCAATACAGATGTGCTTGCTGTCTACATCACTTTTAAAAGTTATGATTCACTAGTTTTAAATTTGTTTTTACACTTGCTAAAAACAGAGTGACTACTGTTGACTGTTAGCAAAATATCTCATGAAGCACTGGATGGACTTCCATAAAATGGTAAGAAAGTACAAAAATGTTTTTTGTGCATATTGACATTACAAGGTTGGACCAAATGGCAGCAGCTCCATCCCTTCTAAAAATAAGATGATTTTAAATCATCTTATCCCAATCAGAGTTGAAATATCTGGTGTTAAAGGTGGCGGGAGATATGTTTGTTCAAGAAATGCTTGACCTTTAACATTAAAATGGTCTAGGGTTGGTATTTTTGTGTCTTAAACCTGCAGTGTGTCTTGAGTCACATGTGGTTGTTTACCTGTATGCCAACGACATTTACAGTATTATGATCTTGTGTGTTATTAATTTATGTTTTTCTCATTATTTGATCTGTATTTAACCAGTTGAGCCAGTTTATAACTAATTCTCATTAAAAACAACAACCTGGTCAGCAGGCTGTAGCAAAAAGCTAATTGTGCAAACAGCATCTTATTACACATTACACAGTGTTTCTTTTATGTCTTTTATGTCATGAACAGGTGAATTATTTTGTATATTTGAAACAATAATGTTTCATACATATGCTCAGAATTAAACAATATCAAATTAAGTTCAACAAAGTAAAGAGAGTTGAGGAGCTGCAGGTGTGAAACTGATTATCTTAATTACAGATCATTTTACAAACAATTACATCTCATTATGCAATTATAGAGTGAGGCAACACTCAGGGGAAAACCCTGGGCCTGTTTGTTCAATTGTTTTTACAGATCATAGGCGACTAGATAGAGACAGGTTTTTCTTTTATAATCTTTAATACTTTAAATTCAAATTACTAACTGGATCAGATTGAAATGCTTTGGTCACACAATGAAAATAAATTTATTTTTTAACTATAATACACAATCTCAGCAACTGATTTAGTATATTTAGAAGGCAACAAGAGTGGAACGGAGAATTAATGAGAAGTGAACTTAAGGTTGTTCTTACATTTTCATACTTATAAAGCAGTTAATATTAATAATGACTCTTTGATTGTCCAGTTGTAGAAATAATCTGCGTTTAAGTATCAGGTCAAAAAGAATGAATATAGAGTAGACTCTGCTTTCTAACTTAATGTCCCATGATTATGAAGAAATGTAAAATGCAGGAAGTAGCCCCAGATCATTTTATCTTTGAGTTTTAAGTAATGTGTCAGATGGTACCACAGGTACCACAGGCGAACTCGGCTACGGTCCAAAGTAAGTATAATTCTAAAACCAAGCCTCCTGTTAACCACCTATTCATTCACGTTACAAATCGGTTTTCCGTGCTTGGTGAGACACCCGCTGAGGAGCACCCCCTGGTTATTGGCAGCTCCATAGTCCAAGACGTGGCACTTCCGACTCAGACCACAGTCAAATGGGAGGC